TGTGGTGATGGGTTGTAATTAGTGTTTTGGTGGTGAACATGATGTAATCTATGCAGAAATAGAAGTACAATGATGTACACCTGAAATTTTTACAATGTCATAAACCAATGTTACTGCAATAAACAAAAAATTTAAAGAAAAAAAAGAAAAGTGTATATAATTAAAGTTGGTAGACTGAAATAAGCGAACATTGGGGAGATAAATTTTCAGTGAAAACCAGTCATATGAGTATGAATTGTTTGAGAACAAATTAAGGCAGCCATTGTTTTCTTAGGTTGAATCTCATGAAATTCTTCAAGGGTCACTTGGAACTCCTGGAAAGGCTTTACGCTTATCCTATTACCAGATGATCATGACATATGGACTGCTCTGAGTTTAGTCTCAGAGGCCTAATAGGCTGTATTGTGGGACATGTTTTATTAAAACTGATCATATTATAGCTCTTAACGAATTTCAATACAAAATTGTTAGTTACTTTTTTCCCGGAGCGATATCCAGTACCAACAACAAATGAGTCCTGGGTCCAGAAAGAAGAAATAGCTTTTATATTTGCAATGAACTGGCAATGGTTATCTTAACCATTAGAGCATGGAGAGGATTGTGCCAGGGATGTGGGTTTGATGGTCATGAGAAACAGTTATTTTCATAAAGAAGAAGTACTTTCTTTAATCACAAAGTTAACACCCAGTGACGATAATGGTGACCTGTTGACAGTGTAGGAGCCAATTAGAATGAGCCAGTAATTTTTTATTTGTATTAGGGGCCTTTATATATTGTCTCACCAGTTGTAGGTCATGTTATCGCTCACTACCTTTTGGCCTCTGGACTTCTATATAACCACAACTCCCGGTGAGTTTTAAGGACAATGGGATTTAGCTTCTCCTAGAGACATATCCAGTCTCTACTCCCCACTGACACCAAAATATTATGTTTAAAGAGGTATCATATTTTATAGAGAAAAAGTATTGATTTTGAAAAATATTTAATTTCCAGTGCTATATGCTTTTAAAATATGTATCCGTATAATGCTTTTATGATCATCTGCTATCACCAGCTCTTGTGTAACAAAATTTAGTAAATTTTGTTTTCTTTTCAACCAGTCTGAAGCCCAAGAACTAACAACAGTCAAGATGTCTAAATTTGGTGGTGGTATTGGTGTGCCTACTAAAGAGGAGAGGCTGAAGGCAGCTGCTGAGATACACTTGAGATTAGGACAAATTCAGAGATATTGTGAACTCATGGTTGAACTTGGAGAGGTAATATGCTATTAAAGCAGAATTAATGAATTTAACAAAGTATTCTAAGTTTTAGTTAAATGCTAAATATTAAGCTTCTCTTTTTCCAGAGCTAATTGGTTTTCTGCCAATCTGGTATCAGGTGTATACCTCAGAACAGTAGTTATCCAAGTGAGATCCCTGAGCTAGCAGCTTCAGCATTACTGGGAGACTTGTTAGAAATGCATTTCCCACCCCGAACCTGCGGAATTAGAAACTCTGAGATGGAGCCCAACATTCTGTGCTTTTATAAGCCCTTCACGTTATTCTCACAAATACTAAACTTTGAGAACCACTGCCCTAGGCTGGACTTTTTGATTCCTAAAAAACATCTATAATGGCTGATTTGCTCACAGTGGACTCCCCTTGCTAACACTATTTGTCATGACTAAATCTCACACTGGCCAGAAAAAGGATTTCCACTGAGGATCATCTGGTGAAGGATGCTCCTAAGGCACATCTTGATTTTTATAGGGGACTGAATCAACAACATAGAATTTTCAGAAAAGGTTAGGATGAATCTATCCTATTAAAATTCAGCATAGTGGTTACCTTTGTGAGGTGGGGGTGACTAACATGGAGCAAAAGGGGGAAGGGGCTTCTGTTTCTTGATCTGGGAGCTGGTTACATGAGTGTATTCAGTTTTTAAATTGTAAAAATTTAGTGAGTTTTTCATTTTTCTGCATGTGTATTTTAGTTGAACAAAAATTCTTCACCCCTCCAAAAAAAAAAAAAAAAAAAAGATTAGAATGGCATGGACTCATTTCATTGTATACTATTTTTGAAAAGCTCTAGGTTAATTTTATAATTACCAAGCAGGATATTAAAAATACTTATAAATAAAAAAAAGTAAAACTAAACAATAAAGTATTACATTAAAAGATATCAAAATTAAACTTAACTCACCTTTTTATTTCCCCATACATTAGAAACAATGAATTACTGCTTAACCTAAAATAATAAAGTGTGCCATTTAAAAATGTTATTGAGGGGCCGGCCCAGTGGCACAGCGGTTAAGTGCGTGCAGTCCGCTTCGGTGGCCTGGGGTTCACAGGTTCAGATCCCGGCTGCGGATCGATGCACTGCTTGTCAAGCCATGCTGTGGCAGCGTCCCATATAAAGTAGAGGAATATGGGCACGGATGTTAGCCCAGGGCCAGTCTTCCTCAGCAAAAAAGAGGAGGATTGGCATCAGATGTTAGCTCAGGGCTGATCTTCCTCACAAAAAAAAATATATATATATATACATATATATACACACACACACACACACATATACATGTAATTTAAAATTTAACCTATTATTTTCAGGCTAATTACCAATTTTTTAGCCTTAATTGCAGTAGAAATCTACTGTTTTGGAAAGCCTTAATAAAAATGAAATTTTGGTTCATCTAGTGGTATTTCAGAATATTTTCTCCTCAGTTCCCTTCATTGAAATCCATATTTTCAAATAACAGTCACAGTTATCCTTGACTGAACAATGAACTTATTTAATAGTAGTCTAATTTTTAGCATATGAAGACAGGTATTATTAACTATAAAGGAAGAAATGAAAGTAAATAAAATTTATAAAAATGAGTAAGGAAAGAATAAAAAATAGAAATAAATGTCATATTTGTTAAATGTAACAGTGAAATAAAAATTTCAGCATGTATTATTTTGAACATAGAATACCACAGAACAAATTACTCTGATATTGTGTTAGAAGATGAGTTAATGTATTTTCAAGCTACATACTTTAGTTACTATCCCTTCCCCCCACCTCCTTCCCTCTTTGTATCTCTCTAGATTTGGGATTTTCCCTGCTAAATAATGGAATTTACATATTTTATTTTAAAATATGGTAATATTTATACTCTATTATACTTTATTCATAGAGTACAAAAATATTGCTGGAAATGCAAACACTCTAAAAACTTGTATTATAAATATGAGTTCATTTAAAAAAAGTCTGTTAAGAATTAGACAGTATAATCAAAATAGATATGTTTCTGCTTTTCTTTTCTTCCATTCCAGTGGGACAAAGCCTTATCCATTGCACCAGGGGTCTCTGTGAAATACTGGAAGAAGTTAATGCAGAGGTAATGCGATGTACAAATAGATGTTTTAAAATATGTTAAAATAGAAGCAGTATATAAGTATGATGGTAGCTTTTGAAATTTTTTACTCTTATGTTGTTTTAAATAATAATTGACTTTTATATCTACTGATACACTAAATTAAACAAATCAGTTACAAGTCATTTTGGTGTTCTTATATTTGCCCAACATCTGGTAAAGACAGTGGAAGGCGAACTTCCCCATGTCAATGGAGGAATGATAGATTAGTAAACATAGTCATTAGTTAATATATTGCTATTGAAATATAAGTGGTAAGATTTTCTAAAGGTTGCCAAAAGTTTGTGGAATAGTTATTCTATAAATAATCTTAAGAATTCTCTCTGTAGACACTAATTCCTACCATTTTCCCTCTGTGGATATAAGGGAAGTACTGATGATAAGAGTTTTACCACTGAGCAGGCTTAACTAGATGTCCTTGTTCTAGGATGTAATAAACAAATATCTGAGATGTATTAGTTTCCTAGGGCTGCCGTAACAAAGTACCACAAACTGGGTGGCTTATAACAACAGAAATTTATTCTCTTATAGCTCTGGAGCCTAGAAGTTCGGTATCAAGTTGTTGGCAGGGTTGGTTTCTACCGAAGGCTCTGAGAAAGAATCAATTCCGTGCTTCTCACCTAGCTTCTGGTGGTTACCGGCAATCTTTGGCTTCTGTTGGCTTGTAGACACGTCAGTCCAGCTTCTGACTTGTCTTAACGTGGAATTATTCCTTGTGTGTCTCTGTGTCCAAATTTGCCTCTTTTTGTAAGGACACCAGTCATATCGGATTTAGGGTGTACCCTAATCCAGTATAATTCTATCTTAACTAATTACATTGGCAAAGACCCTATTTCCAAATAAGGTTACATTCACAGATACTATGGGTTAGGACTTCAGCATATCTCTTAGGGGGACGTATTTCAACCAGAACATAAGACTATTCTCTATTCTATTCATTCATTCATTCATTTATTCATTCATTCAAATATTTATTTAGTGCTCACTATGCTCCCATCACTGTGCTAGACCTGTAGAGTACTATTTAATGAGTAATCACTTTGCTTCTGGTATTAAAAATGAAAAGTTTTGATTTTTCTTTTATGTAACATGGCTTAAAAAAAAATTCAACTGCAACTCATATGTACAAATAAAAATGAATCAGAGGCTGAGCGTGAAATCCAGAAAGATTAATGCATTTGCCATAGGAAAGCAGACTGTTCCCCTGCGCCTACTTTCCCAGCAGTAAGTTAAGCAGCAGACTGTCTCCAGCCCTTAGACTGTCATCTCCCTATCCTAAGCTCTAAGAATCCCAATTCTGAGTTCCTGTACCCTCACTCCACAATTGCGAATGTTACCTCTCCCACTGAAACTTTAAGTCAAGTTAGCAGAGGATATTTATTTCACAAAACAATTTTGTTTCAGCCTCTGCAAAAACTCTATTTCAGTTATCTTTGAAAACCAACACCTGATTTTCTCTGCTCCTTAGTTCACATGGTGGTCGGAAATTGGTCTCCCCACAACTCCAAAGTTTATGTTTTATGGGTCCAGCCATTCAGAGAGATGGATTGGCAGTCTCTCAGTCCTAGTCTCAAACACCCAGAAAGGGAATATTGTTTCTAAACAGCTATAACAAGGAAATCAGGGTCACACGGTAAAAACAGAGCTGTTGGGGAGAACCCCAGTGGCCCTATGAAATGGAGATTGTTCACAGTGAGCTGGGCAAACAACATAAAAAGTGTCTGCTATACCTACCCGAAGATTGGCAACTGAAATGTAGTTTAAGGCAAATGCCAGCATAAAGTAAATATACCAGATTAATTGTCAACAAAACTGAAGTTAAACATTAAGAGTGGAGTTAACTAGGTTGATCACTGAGAAAGTGCCTCGGACTTCGATAGAGAAACAGAGACAGGGGGCTGGCCCGGTGGCGTGGTGGTTAAGTTTGTGCATTCTGCTTCGGCAGTCTGGGGTTTGAGGGTTCAGATCCTGGGCATGGACCTACACACCACTCGTCAAGCCGTGCTGTGGTGGCATCCCATATAAAGTAGGGGAAGATTGGCACAGATGTTAGCCCAGGACCAGCAAAAAAAAAAAAAAAAAGAAAGAAAAACAAACAGACAGATAGTGATGGATGCAGAGAGAGACAGACAGACACACATGTAGTCTTCACAGTGTCCAAAATCAGGATTCTCTTTCTCCCTCACATCTGGAACATGATTTTTCTTTAAACTACCTTGCTTGGCGCACTTACAATATTCTGCATTTTATTACAATATTTGTGTTCTTGTATTATGCTTTTTAATGATTTTTAAGTTACTTGCATTTAGAGGCTCTCTATTCGTTGTTGTGCTCCCTAAAACATTTAAAATTCTTGTCTTTAATAAAGTAGACACCCACATATTTGTTAATCCAATTGAGGGTAGATATTCCATCACACATATCTAGTTTACAACTTATTTTCATAAAAACATATTACTCATTTTAATAGATAAGCTTTGTGCAGCTACGACATACAACTATCCACTGGGGCTTTGGGGGGAAAAAATAAAATAAATAAAATCTTAAAAAAAAAAAAAAAAAATAGATAAGCTATATTAGTTTTAAGACTTGAAATTTTCAGTGCATTGAAAATATATAGTGTTCTAAGGGAAAACAAGTACCTATAGTATTTATTATTTTAGAAAACTTTTATTTGTCTTCTATATAGATTTGCTTATAAAATCTGTCTTTTTAAAAAGTGATATGTGAAAGGGCTTTATGAAATCTGCTGAAAAGTTTAGATATTTAGCTATTTCAGAAAATCTCAGTCCAGCTGAGAACCTCGAAATTAGTGTATTGAAAAAAAAATTGTTCTTCTTTTATTAGGAGAGCTGATCAGTTAATCCAGGAAGATAAGGATGATGTCATTCCATACTGCGTAGCCACTGGTGATGTGAAGAAATTAGTCAATTTTTTTATGTCAAGAGGTCAGCTTAAAGAAGCTCTGCTGGTTGCACAGGTAGAACGATGTGATTACACCAGCTGCATACACTGGTGGGTGGGCGTGTGGAAGGGAGGAGATTGTGTAGATGGCTTGGCTTCTGCCCACCTCCCGGACTTTTACTCGACGTTTCAGCCACACTACCTGCTCTGGTCACACTGAACTTAGTTTAGATCTTTAAATGTACAAGCATCTCTGAACTCTGACCTTTTCTATGCCGCTGAATGTTATATATGCTTGAGCAATATTTGCCAGTATCCATTTACTTAAAGCTTCACGTTGATACTCACAATGGAGTTCACATTTTTTTTTACAAATTCCAAGGGTATCTTCAAATTGTAGTGTAAATCTCTAACATGATTTAAGTATACTTTGCTCAAAGTAATATTCTGAAATTGGTCACCTATCAACAATTAGCTAAAGATTAATTAAAGATCTCATTAAATTCCAGGCTGCTTGTGAGGGAAATATGCAAACCTTACATGTTTCTACACCTAAAGGGTCTTCATATTCTGATGATATCTACAAGGAAGACTTTGATGAGTGAGCCATTTATTCTTTGTTTGGGGTCAATATTTCATGGTTGGTTTCTCTTTAGGGGTTTTCAAGGGCCATGGAGTTCATCCTTCTTTGTGTACAGAGGACTTGGCTGGCTCATGTCCTCAACTGCATGTCTCACCACCATCTAGTGCCTTCACAGCACCCATTTCTGGGTGAATAGGGAAATGTCAGGCATGTAGATGCAGCCTACACACATTTTATATAGCTTCCAGGAAAGCAAAATGCATTTCAGTAGAGAGATCGCAAATAAAGCACCTAAATACTTAAACTGATCAATTAATGTTTCTCTGTAAAGTCAGTATAGATAATATCACAGAAACATAGTTCATAATCCCATGATCTGGCATTAGTATCTAGAATAACATTTAGGCCTCTTAAAGAAGAAATCCAAATAGTTATGTTTTTAAAAGAAATGGAAATTAGAATTCTTCAGCCTTTTGACCTTTTTTCAATCTAATAATCTACCTTCCCCTGCCTCATTTACTGGCTGCTATTATTGCCCTAGAAAATAGGATATTTAAACTTTTAGGACACTTATGGATCATAAAATGTTAAGCAAATAATGTGTTGGAACTAACATATTTCTTCCTGGTTCTTTGCCGCTATTCTCAGCCGTTTCTAAACTTGGCATTTTAAAGATCTAACATACACTACCCACATTTTGGTTGCCACCTAAATTTTGAAAAGTTTCACTTCAATCTCTAATTCTTATAAGGTTAACTGCCCCTATAGCTGAGTCATACATTATGCCATGTAGGATGATAAATTTTGAAAATTAGACTTTTCTTCTGACAATTGGGGGGCAGGGGGTTGATCAGCTCATCTATTAAGAAAGACTGCTTTCCTAATTTTTCCCCCCAAATCAGGCTTTGTACCTAAATCAAGGATATCAAATTAAATCGTATTTGATCCCTTAATCAGCTTGTTAGCAAAGGGCATTAGTTCACTTTCATGATTGAATCTTTGTATTTGTGTAGAATATATATTCTTTTTCTCTCTAGCCTCCTGCACAAAGTCAGCAAAGAACTGGCAGAATGGTATTTTCAGGATGGACGAGCAGTACTAGCGGCATGCTGCCACCTCGCTGTAGATGATATTGAGGTATGACATTTCAAATTGGTTTATGTGGATGAAGAGCTCTTAAGATGTGTCCTGGTGTTTGAGGGAAAAAAAATATGATGACTTCCTGTGTACGATCTGCTTTTGCATGCTTTGTACACCAGAGTATTTACGTGCCTAATAAGCACACACAAACTCTGCAGACTATCAGATCTTTTTTCTTTATTTGTTTATTTTTATCACAAGATACACATTTGTAACAACCTTACTCTAAGTATTTCATCATGTATGAGAAGCAGTAGTGTGGTAAAGGGAAAAATTGCTATACATGGTCTCAGAATACCTGGCTTTTGAAAGCACTTATTTTTAAGTATACTTGAGCATATTCTTCACAAGTTATGTTTTTAAGGTATTAAAAATTAATGACTGTTAGTCATTAATTACAAAAATATGAGCAAATGTTCTAAACTCTTAAATTCTGACCTTATAAAATTCCCTGTGTCTCTTTATCAGCTTTTCCGTCTGAAAATTGCAGTTGCTCTTACACAAGTCCTTTGTAGAAATATTGCATTCAATATTTTATAAGAATAATTGATTATAGGTCAATACAGCTTTATCTACTTTATGAGCTTGGCAGGGAATGATGATCCTACCCAGCATCTGTGAAACTGAAGACGTTGTTTTCTTCTTGAGCAAGCTTGCTATGGCGTACCTGATTCGTGGGAATGAGCTGGAGTTGGCCGTCTGTGTGGGCACAGTCCTGGGAGAGTCTGCGGCACCAGCAACCCACTACGCCCTAGAATTATTGGCGAGAAAATGCATGATGATTTCAACATGGTAAGAATTTCTAAATTCAAAGAATAACTTTATAGTGATGGAGTACATTTTTTGACTATTGTAAGTTGCATTTGATAAGATGTGTGTTGGAGAATATAGGGTCTCCTTTTTTAGTAAGTGATAATATCTTGGGAGGAAATGGTGATGTGAGAATGAAGGAATGGTGAGAGCTATCATGGTTCTGTGATGAAATCCACCATGACCTATTCTGAAGTAGCCCAGTTGTAATTCCATAATATTTCAAGCACATAAAGCATCATGAGACAATAAATGTGCCCTTGTTAGGATTATCGGGACACATCCCCACATTTTAAATTCTGCGTATCTACACTCACTCTTCTCAGATTTTGTGTCTTAGTTTAAGGTTTGGAAAATAAGGTTACTTTTCTAATGTACAGTAGTAGATGGTTTAGCTGAAGATGTGGAACAGGCCATTTCCCCAGACTCAGGCAATACTCTGAGGGATAGACCCTGGAAAGTCCCTGAGTAACCTGGAAATCCAGGTCAGAGCTGTTCTTGCTCGCATCTGCAGAGCCCTGTTCATAGGGCAGGCAGTCCTTCACTATGGAGGCACCTTCAGGAAAGATATGATGCTGTCACTCAGTAGATGTTTGTTGAATAAAGGTGATTTTAGACTTTTATCTTCTCTTTTCCCCAATACTTAGAACCTCAAGAAGTTTCTAAATAAACTTGTTTATCAGGACTTTCCCCTGTCCCCGTATAAACCCCATGCACACACGCACCACTCTTAAGATGGCGCTATGCAGGCTCCATTACTGAACACTGCAGATAGTAATAACAATAATGACAGCCAACTAGCACTTCTGTACTGCTCTCTGTGTGCCAAGCACTGTTTTGAGCACTTTACATGTAGTAACTCACTAGATACTCTGCAGTAGGTATGGATTTGCCTCAGGTCTCTGTGCGTGGTAGAGCCAAGATTCAAAGCTACATAAACTGGCTCCAAAGTTTGCACTTTTAGCTGCTGTCTTAATTCAGACTATTATAACAAAATACCACAGACTGGGGGGGCTTATAAACAACAGAAATTTATTTCTCATAGTTCTGGAGGCAGAGAAGTCCAAGCTCAAGGCACTGACAGATTCAGTGTCTGAGGAGAGCCGGCTTCCTAGTTCATAATCAGCCGTCTTCTCCCTGTGCTCACATTGCGCAGGGGTCAGGGAGTCTCTGTGGCCTTTTTTATCAATCTCTAATCACTAACCATTCATGAGGGCTCTGCCCTCATGACCTAGTCACCTCCCAAAGGCCCCACTTCCGCATACCATCATATTTGGGGTTAGGTTTCAACATAGGAATTTTGGGGGGACAAACACTCAGTCTGTGGCAGCTCTCACACTATACCACCTCCTTAACTGAGGCTAACTCGGAAAAAGAGCAACACTGTCCATTCTCCTTTTCTGTCTGGATCTGGGGGCTTTATAGTAAATCAGGAATCTTAGAATTATTCTAATTTTTAATATCTTACAGTGATATCAGATCTCCCTACCCCTACCAAAATGTAGTGGTACCCCACCATCAGACTTAGACTTAAATATATTTAGTGCTGACCATCCTTTGAGAGTACCCAGCTTTCCCTCTGTCAAGCACTGTGGTAGTCAATTACATGGTTACCCCAACTTGCCATAGACCCATCCCAAAGCATGAGGTCTCACACAGATTATTTATTCACAAAGGTGACTGAGTCCATGCTAAAAGTCATCATCTAATCTAAATAAAATGTGATTGGTTTTTTTAAAAAGTAAAGGTACAAAGTAGCAAAACATAAATAGAAATTACATTTAACAGAGGTTTAAAAATCTTTCAACTGACTATATGTCTTAGTTACTTTTAATGTAAAACAAATTTCTGTTTCCTTGTACTTCCTCCCAAGAGTTTTCCTTTATATATCCATAGTTATGGATATGTAAGTTCCATATATCCTGATATATATGGAATTTATGTATCCAGGATAAAGTTCAAATTCTGAAATATATGGTGCTGATCAGGTTTATTTCCAGGTGAAATCTATAATCCTCATGGCTATTAGTAGAGCTCCACAAATTAAAAAAAATAATAATTGATAGCTGCATAATTTCAAGAGAATGTGCATAATTGTATAAACCAAGAACACTACATCTTTTCCATTTATTGGTAAAAGTTTGCTTCTTCTTGGTTCTTATTGCTTATTCGTGGTATTCATATTCAAAATTATTTTCTTTTTAGCTTCCCATCTGTTGGATACAGGTATTATGTAGTTTTATGAAACTGTTTAGCTTTAAAAATTCATGTATTATTTTACTTTTAGAATACCAACTCTATATTAAGAAATGATCATTAACTGCCTTTGCTTTATTGTTTTACAGAATGGCAATTCATTTATGTACTTTGTAGCATATAAAACCTAACTCCAAAGTAATGATAACAGTCCCTATAACCTAGGTACAAAATCACTAATGATTTTATACTTAAAGCTTGTGTAATAAATGAACTGTGGCTTTCTACAGTACAAAATAAGAGCTGACTCAGCCAAGCGACTTAAAAAACCTGTTCTGATAGTGAAATTTAGGAGTTTAGATCATTTGGTTGGTCTATATCATTACATATATGTACATTTTCCCCAACTGGTATACTGAATTTTTAATAAATAGTACATTAGGCTAAAGAGTGAATAAAATTAGCTAGCATTGCTGTAAATTTCACTATTCCAGGATATAATTCTATGGTAAGAAAGTCAGATTTTTGTCTGTAGTTCATAGAAGTTTGAATAGAGTTTTAGCACAGCTATTTTACACGCTGTAAATGATGATTTCTGTATTCACATGGACGTTATTGAAAACTGCTATTAAATGTTGGTGTCAGAAAACAAAGCCATTTGTACTTTTTAGTAGAAACAGATGAGTTACTCAAATTTGAAACTTGGGAAAACACTCAAAGACTTACCTGCCCTATGATGATAGAAATTTGACACACATGAATCATCTCTATTCCTGTTGTATACTCACTATATTCTTGATTAAACATCTCTTAATGTTAAAAATAATTTATTTACATAAATGACCAATGTAGATTTTACTGAAGACTTCACAATAAGGGTGAAGGAGGATTTTACTCTCAGAGTCCACAGCACACCTTTCATAAATTCACATGCGAAATATTGCCTATCCTAAAGTCATGCTGCATGTATATATGTCAATTTCTTGAAAATTGAATAATAACATCTTGAATCATTAAAAATTAGTGTTTCCTCAGTTATGATGCATTCAATCAAAAACTCTTCACCTTGTCGTTCTTAAAAAGGATTTTGTACACAATATTTTGATGTAAAGCTGTTATGTCCATACAATTTTTTAAGTGCCTTATATATGTATTTTTTTGATTGTCCCTGAGCTAACATTTGTTGCCAATCTTCCTCTTTTTGCTTGAGGAAGATTGTCCCTGAGCTAACATCTGTGCTGATCTTCCTCTATTTTGTACGTGGGACACCAACACAGCATGGCTTGACAAGTGGTGTGTAGGTCCACACCTGGGATCCGAACCTGAGAACCCTGGGCCACCGAAGCGGAGAGCACGAACATAACCACTATGCCCCCAGGCCAGCCCTAAATGCCTTATTTTAAAATTATTTATCCCATTGATTGAATCTTTAAAAAGTAAATCAGAAAATTGCCTTTCTATCTTTGATATCCACCTAAAGTTTAAGAAATATGTAGAATACCCCAAATTCTAAACTTAAAATATCTAAGTATTCTAGTAGCTTTAATGAGCTGGCTATTACAATTGTCCAGTGTTGGCAAGCATAACAAAGTTGATGAGAATTAGCTTTCACACATTTGCTTATAATTCCCTCCAAAGAACATATCTACTACTACTTAGTTTGGTTAGAGAATTATTCTATAATACAAAATTAATTGTAAATATGTAGACTCAGTTTAAATTTTTAAAAAATATTTAGGAATTTCATAATTCATTTTTCCTTCATGCCCTTTGGTTTCTATAATCTACATTTAGAGGAATTTCATAATTAAACATGAAATTAGTACTGTTTATGTAAAGAGAAAAGCAAGAGAGGTAATAAAGTCTTCTTCCTTTGAAATTGTCCTAAATGTTATTTTTTCCTCGTTGACGTTTCCCCTTTGTTATGTGAATAGGAATTTGGCAGCCGATCTTCTCCTGCTGACTCCTGATAATGAACTACAGTTGGTAAAACTCTGTGCTTTCTACCCAGGGTGTACTGAAGAGATAAATGATCTTCATGAGAAGGTACGCTGACGATGTTAAATAGTCTAGTTTGGAATGCAGTACTAATTGAACTAACTTTAGGTTCCAGCAAATAGAGATACATGCAGAGAACCAATTATATGGTCCCTTTAGGGCTCTTTTATAAATACAGCAAAAATGATAACAATAAGAAGTAACATTGAACTTATACTGTATACTTGGAACTGTTCTAAAATTTCACATATATTTGTATTTTACTCAATTCTCATGAAACCTTTTAAGTCTTTAAGTCTTAAGTCTCATTGTTCTTATTTACAAAGAAAGTGAACTCAGGGAAAGTAGGGAACTTGCCTGAATTAGTTAATGGTGGAGTGAGTGAGAACTGCAACTTCAGCATCTCTTATTCCCAATCCCAAATCCTTCCCACTGCACCATCCCGCCTCTTAGGGTTCACATATGCTTGCTTTTTAAAAATAGACAATTTAGGATCTTTACAAGAATTAATGAAGTTTTTTTGGAGGGGTAAATCACTTTTTTATTATGCTAACGTGCATACAATTATTGCCATCCCTACAGAATGCCATGATGTAAAGATGCAAATGGATAGAGCTCCAGACTGGGTCCAGTACCATGGGCGGTAGAAAGGTGTCGTGGGTGGAGGGAAGCACTCTGGACCTGGTGTCAGAAGACCTCTGTTTCAGTTCTCATTTCCTCTCTAACTCTTTGTTTAACCCTGGGCACTCCTTTTAGCCGCTAGACTTCCGTTTCTTCATTTCAGAAGCAGTTCTCCTTGGTAGAAGAAATACTGGAGAGGCCAGCATTCATTGTTTCTGTCTGAGGCTCGAGGATAGTTTCTTTTTCTTTTTTTTTTTTTTCTGCTGAAGAAGATTCACCCTGAGCTAACATCTGTTGCCACTCTTCCTCTTTTTTTGCTTGCAGAAGATTAGCCATCAGCTAACATCTATGCCAGTCTTCCTTCACTTTATATGTGGGTCACCACCACACATGGCTGACGAGTGGTATAGGTCCACACCCAGGATCTGAACCTGCAAACCTGGGCCGCTGAAACAGAGCACGCTGAACTTCATCACTACACCACGAGGCTGGCCCTTGTTTTTTTTTTTTTTTTTTAACATTATGGAAGCTGGGAAGTCTAAGATTAGACACCAGCAGACTCATTGTCTATGAGGGCTTGCTTCCTAGGCGGCCATCTTTTTGCTGTAACCTTACGTTACATGCATTATTCTAAAGTGCTTTAAAAAAATACTTCTTTGCAGGATATATGAATTTGTGTACCAAGATTATATATAAAAACAACCAAAATATCCAACCATAGGGAGATTGTTTATGTAAATTGCAATACATTTCAGTGCTGTTAATCCATTAAGAAGATTATGAAGTTCTGTTTTTATTGACATTGCTAGGTGGCTATAAAATAGTTAAATAAAATGCAGATTATGAAACTATGCACGTGCCATATGACTTTGATTTTGAAAATAACTGTGAACATTTTAATTTTATTTATAGCATATTTAAGAAGATATGTATCTTTTTCTTTTAAGAAAAAGATAAAAGTAAAACATTTTCTTTTTTATTTATTTATTTACTTTTTTTGTGAGGAAGATCAGCCCTGAGCTAACATCCATTGCCAATCCTCCTCCTTTTTATTCCCCAAAGCCCCAGTAGATAGTTGTATGTCATAGCTGCACATCCTTCTAGTTGCTGTATGTGGGACGCGGCCTCAGCATGGCCGGAGAAGCAGTGCGTGGTCAGTGCACGCCCAGGATCCGAACCTGGGCCGCCAGTAGCGCAGCGTGCTCACTTAACCACTAAGCCACGGGGCCGGCCCGGTAAAACATTTTCTCATTTTTAAGTCTCAAAATAACAAAATTTTGTTTCACTTATATGAACTTTCATTTTTCCCCAGTGGGTGAGGCCCTTTTCATTCAGCAACGGATGTGTACTGAGTATTGTGTTAATACAGCTAGACCAAGAGTGTGTGAGTGTGCACATGTGTTGTGTGCATGTGTGTGTGTGTATGTGAGTACTTGTGGTATCAGGGGAAATGCTGTGAAAGGATAAATGTTCAAAGTTACCAATGGGTTGTGAGATTATGGGTGACTTTTACTTTATACACTTTATATTCTATGAATCATGTTTTATATAAGCTACACTTTGCTTTTATAAACATGACAAATAAAAGCTATTTTTGTGTTGGAATTAAAATGCATATGGAAGGAAGCAGGAGTGTTTTTTTCAGTTATACTTTACATTTACTGTGTCGTGTTTTAATGTACACTAGCATCTCCTCTGAGGCAAGAGGGGCAGGTGTTAATATCGAGGCTTAGAGAGGCTGAGTACTTGTCTGTGTTTACACAACCATTAGTGATGGGGTGAGAGCAGCACTCACCTCGTCTTTTCATCACACATTCTGAAAGGATATAATTAGACTCTCTGGTCTGACTTTATTAATAACACTTTAGAAAGACTAGTTCGTATGTGTAAAGGTGTTAACAACCCTGGGCAATTTCACAAGTGATACTAAACATTATATATTCAAATATTATGTTAACTCATGTAAATTTTAGAATTTTAAGAAAGGATAAGAACTACAGGGATGGTCATCTTACTCTTCTTACTGTATTCTATTTGAGAATGGAATTTCAGTGGGAACAATTTTTTATTCCCTCTACTTTGAGCATATATCACCATGAAGAAACTGTCTCTATCCAGCGGGCCGCGGCACTCAGCACATAGTACTTGCTCAGTGCATAGCTGGCCTTTGGTGAATAACGATGGGGAAACAATGTGAAATGTCATATACATGAGAACTCCTTTAATTAGTTTGTTGTAATTGTTTTTGAGAGAGAGAGAGATTGAGGGATCTAGACTGTTCAGTTGACCTAACTTTTAAATAACAGAAAATTTGAAACTGTTGAATAAATTCATGAATAAATAAATAAATTGGACAAACCACCTTAGTAGCTTAAGGGGATGTGAAAGACAAGCGAGAGGGAAGAGGGTGACAATCTCAAAGCAGAGGAGGTGGACGACCTTCCTGTGGGTGAACCACGTCTTCTGGAGACACAACACAGAATATTTTTGCAGTGGAAGCTGTCTCAGTGGTTGCCAAAGACTGGTGAGACAAAGCCCTGAACTGTTGATAAGTGTTGCTCAGAAACAAACCAACAAACTTGAACACTTATGCTTCAAAAATCATGAACATACCAGAATTTGCTCTAAAAGATAACTTAATTCCTGCCTACATCATGGATGCAGAAGAACTTACCTGAAGGAGGAGTAGATGCTCAGTTTTGCAGAAAAAAAAATTATTTGAAAAAATGAGGAGTATTGCTTTTCATTTTACAGTAATGAGATTTCATAGGCTCAAAATCTCCACTTGGTGGCATTTCAGAATGTCAAAGCTAAAAACTTTTACAGCTTGTACATTTTGTGCCTTTTTGCTTGAAATAAAGTTGCTTTGTCTCAAAGGCCAAGTGAAATTAAATTACCACGTAGAGGACACGTAAGGGTGCACCTTTTATGATTTCTACATTTAATGTAGTTTTTTTTTTTTTCCTTGAGGAAGCTTGGCCCTGAGCTAACATCTGTTGCCAATCTTCCTCCTTTTTTCTCCCCAAAGCCCCAGTAGATAGTTGTATGTCATAGTTGTACATCCTACTAGGCTCTATGTGGGAAGCCACCTCAGCGTGGATTGATGAGCAGTGCGTAGGTCTGCAGCCAGGATCCGAACCGGTGAACCCCGGGCCACTGAAGCGGAGCGTGCCAACCTAACTGCTACTCTACTGGGCCGACCCGTTAATGTGGTTTTTGACACTGGTCAGTACATTTGTTCTAAAATAACTAATCTCAGCATTTTTTTGCTAAATTACATTTGCAGGTACTAATTCCAATATCACAATCAGGACAATTTACTTCCACCTCTTTTATTAATTATTTGTGTGATGAAAAACTGCTGACTCATTAGGTAATACCCTATTTATTGTAATCAGATCTTAAAGGTATTTCCATAAACGTATGCTCTTAATACAAATTATTTCACCTACATCTATTTTGGAAACCTTAATAAGAAAAACATACTAGGCATATTGGAAATATTTACTATGTATACTGTTGCTTTTATCCCTATAAGTTTTAGTAACATTGTCATCAAACCAATTCTTTTCTAGTGCAAGCTACCCCCAGTGGAGGAATGTGTGCAGTTAGCTGAGACAGCCCATACAGATGGCAATCTATTTGAAACTGTAAAGTATTACTTGTTAAGTCAAGAACCTGAAAAAGCCCTTCCTATTGGTATTGACTTCATCAAAGGTAAGTTTCTAGTTGGTAATATAATTTAAAATCTACTCATTTATTTGATCTTTTTATTCATATTGATAATCAGCCTTAAAATCAAGCACTAGCTAGTCTAAATTCAAAAAGGAAAGAGATTTGTGATTATACAGTGTGGGGACCTGAGAGAGGTAAATAGGCAGGTACTTATGATCTAGAAAATAAAGAAGTAGATAAGATTGACCAGAAGAGAATTAATTACATAAGTTAAAAATGGGATGAACAAGTTTTATTAGTACTATTTAGAGAATCTTTTATTTGGTTTTATTTTGCCAGAATGCATCAAGAGTTCAGATTGGACTTTGGATACCATTTACCCTGTTCTTGACTTACTGAGTTATATTCCTACTGAAAAATTAGTCTTGCATACGTGTACAGAGTGAGTACTTTTTTTCCAAAATGTGTAACTGAACCTATGTAGTGTTTCAGAATGGCTATATTATTTTTGGTGTTCAGGCCAAGAAATAAGATCATCTTGGACAGGTAGATGCACTTGCAAAGAGATTACATTTTTATTTGTTATATTCTTAAGAAAAAATATGGAGATCAATTTGAAACAGAAATAATACATCTTAGTTGTCCCACTTACTACCACCCACTGTGTGTAGGTTTAATATATGTGTATGCAAATACATACACACATATACACGCCTGGTTCAAATAGGGCTAATTCAATGCTTTGGGCTGGTTTTGGACCTCAAGTCCTCAAGAAACTAGTGGTCATATCTATTAAATATCCACTGTGTGCCAAGCATGCTAGGCTGGGGGAATGGAGAGAAAGTGCTAGAAAGTAAAAAATAAGACACCATCCCTGAATTCAAATATCACCTAAGGACATTGTTATCCATATAACTAAAGTCCCCAGAGACTATGCATAATTTGTAATAGAGGCTTTGGGCTATTTTTGTTTTAATGCCCGTGTGGAAAGGATGATGCGGCAGCCTGCGAAGCTTTGGCACCTTTCCCCAGCAGGAAACGGAGTGGGTGTTCTTTGCCCTTTCCTAGAGTTTACACCATATGCCAGGAATTCCTAAATCTGACCAAATGAGTTACTTAGGGAGAAATTAAATGAAAAAACAACCAAGGAATAGAGAAAAACAAGAAGGCAAGAGTTAAATATTATGTAAAAACTTTTATTTTAAATTACACTTCATGTTATAGCATAAATGTCTGAATAGAATTTAACTGATTAATAAAACATCTAAAAGTTTAGAAAAATTTTGAAGCATATTTTGCTGTAAATGTCACCCATCAAAATATATAGATACAAGTACAATAACTATATATGAGAGTAATGTTCTGCACTTCAAATTATGGGATTAAAAAAATATTCTCTTTCAGATCTCGAAATGAATTGCTCATATTATGTGGTTATGTTGGTGCATTATTGGCTATCCAAAGACAGTACCAAAGCATCGTTCCAGCACTTTATGAGTACACAAGGTAAAACAATTTCTCTTCTTTTATGAAATTAGAGAAATTCTTTCACTAAGATGATTAGTCTCTAAGTGTATCATAGAAGGCAGTAAATACATATTGTATGCATCCATTTATTCACTCAGCATGTACTTTGTAACAAAGCGACAATAAACTATATGGATTAGAAATGAATTAGGCTGTAAATGACATAAATCCTAATTCTGGCTTAAACGCATAGGGATTATTGGTCGTATGACAAGACACTTGAGGTAGGCATTCCAGGGCTGTTACAGCTGGTATGGATTCCATCAAGGACCTGCATTCTTCCCTTCTCTTGACCCTGACATTCTTGGCTTCCTTCCTGTTGCTTGAGTTACCTGTGGTTACCAGGTAGCTGCAACCCCTGTCTATTGTGTCTGCATCCTAAGCAGGAGAGAGAGGTGGAGGTGAGAGGATGGAGACCACAGAGGGCAAGACCATTTGGTTCCAGAGGAAAGTTCTCCGTGGGGTTGGTGCCTGCATCCCCACTGGCCGGAAGTGTGGAACGCTACCTTTAAAAGATGAGAAGCCGGGTGTCTTGGCTTTGCAATCTCTACAGTAGAAAAAAAGCACAGTAAGAGAGTTTGTGAGTAGCAGGCAGCTCACTATTTTATATTCAGGCAGAACCTGTCAAATTCATGTGTTTTCTGACAGCTCAGTGAACTTCAGCCATTATGCTTAAAACTTGTTATACTCAACAGTAAAATCCAGTGCCTTCCCTAAAAAACCATTATAGGAACAACAGGATGTATCACATGGAATGAAAATACTATTTAAAGAAATATGTTCAGCTGTATATGACTTGGGTGATGGTGAAAGTCAAGAGACAGAAAATGGTCACTTGAAATAATATTAAGAATAAAAAGAAGGCTTTTTATTTGTAAGGCAGGAGAGACTTGAGAGAATGTGTCTAAGTTAAGGGAAACATGTGAGTTTAGAAAGAAACACTTAAGACCACCCTAATTTTAAATAACTCCTCTTACGTCTATGACAGCGGTATCTTTGCTGCCCTGACTTGCTCCTTAGATTGATTCCCCAACCTGCTCACACCAGATTCCTCAAAGTTGTTCTCTCTGGTTCTCTGCTCTTTCTTTCCCTTTTTTCTGCTCCTCCAGCTCACTCTCCTCCCATGTCTCCACTCCTCTTCTCTCCTCTCTTCTTCCTACACTCTGTCCTTTGGAAACCTCACCATTTTTCTGGCTTCACCCGTCACCTGTGAGTTATGGAGATAACTCACTGTTTCATATTCAGGCCGAGCCTACTCCGAGCTCTTCTGTGTATATCCAGCAGCCTGCTCAACTCCAGCCTTCAACTCAGCCTGCTCAAAATGAAAATCATCCTCCTTCTCAGATCTACTCCTTCTCCTGTGTTCTCTCTTTCTTTTGACAGTGTCATTACATTTCTGTCATCCAGAATTAAATGATCAGGGTCATGATAAAGTGTTTTCCCTCACTGTCAACATCTGATTATTTAGTCAATGCCCATATCCATCCTTTTCTCATTTTCTGTACCACCATAGCTATGTCTTCATTAGCTCTCACTGGCGGTAGCCCTCATCTGCTCACCCTCCCTCCATCTTTCTCCTCCTGTCCCCCATCCCATGTACTGCTGTTGCATTAGCCCTCCTAAAGCACCACCCTTCTTTAATACTTTCCAGGTCTCCCCACTGTCTACAGATAATGTTCTAAATCCTTAGCCTTACATTAAGGGTCCACAAAAATTGGGTTCCAACCTTGTCACCCACTGTATCCTTTTATCTGTTCTCTGCTCCGGCCAAACTGAGTTACGTGTAATTCCCTGGACAAATGTAAGCTTTCCCTGATACTTTTCACAGCGTTTCCTCAACCTGTTTCCCCTTGGTTTTTCTCCTTGCTCTTTAAGAGTGCTTTACATACAGTAGATCATCAAAATCTACTGGGCAGAAGTACTGTCAAGTGCAAAATTGTGGACAGTAAGCCAGATTATTTAAGGAATTCATTTTGGCGCTATCCACATTCTCAATGAAAATTTTTATGTTCAATAATTTTGGGTTGAACAAAATAAGCGCCTGGGGCCGGCCACTTGGTGTAGCAGTTAAGTTCACATGCTCCACTTCCGCAGCCCAGGGTTTCCTGGTTCGGATCTGGGACACGGACCTATGCACTGCTTATCAAAGCCATGCTGTGGCAGGCATCCCACATACAAAATAGAGGAAGATGGGCATGGATGTTAGCCCAGGGCCAGTCTTCCTCAGCAAAAAGAGGAGGGTTGGTAACAGATGTTAGCTCAGGGCTAATCTTCCTCAAAAAAAATATAAGCTCCTGATTTGAGATAATATTACTGAAATGTTAGATGTGTGGGGGGGGAGTTATTTATACCTTTTGTCCTCACCAATTCATATCATGTCCAGCAGAGTGACGACAGCTAGCAAGAGTAACCATAAAATGTAAATTGCAGAAATGCTTACTTTTACTTCATCTCTAAGGTCTTATGGTCTTTTTCTTTTTACCCCTATTAGCTTTTACTTTCAAATTTCAATTTAGTTCCTTGAAAAACACACTGAGTTTGTAACTTATTTTAGAAACTAGGACTAGTAATTCCTTATCTCAAGCTTCATAATTAATAATAATCGTATCTGTTTTCCAGTTTTCATACGCAGATGTGATGGATTACTGCTGCTGTTTCACTGCTTCTTTTCACACATCTCTGTCTCTAAAGAATTGAAATCAGCATTTCCATTTTTTCTGCTGGTTGACATTCTTCTCTTCCTGCTCTCTCGCTTGCTTTCTCACTCCTAATATCCATTTTTCATGCAGACACACACTGTACCGTACAGGAGCCAGATGTGGCTATTCCTCAACATCTCTTGGCTTGTCTAACCTTTCTCCATACGTTATGCAGTTCATTTATTCACCCGCCCACTCACTCAGACTGTCATCCAACCAACATTTATTGAACGTCTTTGACTTGCCAGGGACTTAAAGGCTAAATATACAACTGAGCGCACACACACACGTATTCATGTATACAGATATAGTTTTGAACAATAGTTGTTAAATCTAAAATTGCAATTATTTAAAATTCATTTGCTTTTTCATATCTTAGTCTTGGATGTCAGATGTTAATTTCTTTTTCACGTCTCAGTCAGCTATTAAAACGTCGGGAGGTGTCAATGCCTTTAAAAATTGAACACCTTTCTGAGGAACTGGATGCGTGGAGAGCTTGCACGCAGTCCATCAACCGGTGAGTGAATATGATAGAAAGATCAGATTGTGTTACTTAATATTATAGACAAACTTGTTGACAATGTGGATTGTCTCCTTATTAATCTTTGCAGAATAATGAATCTTAGTTTGTTTAGCATCTATCCAGTAATAATTTACAATGCTGTTCTTTTCTGCCTTAAGTCACTTGTTTTACTATAAATTAAGTCTAAAGATAATTTGCTGTCATCTATAAAGGGGGACTAAATAATCATCAAGGACTGTTTCTAATCTAGACCTCAATAATTCTATGATTCTACAAAAATGAAAATGTAATATCTGTTGAAAATATAGATCATCAGAAGAATCTCCATATACACCCCCTTCTGATTCACAAAGAATGATTTATGCAGCTTTACTAAAGAGACTAAAAGAAGAACCACTCAAAGGAATTATTGGACCAGATTATGTGACTGGATCAAATCTCCCCAGTCATTCTGATATTCACATCTCTTGTCTTACGGGATTAAAAATACAGGTACAGCCTAATGTCAGGCATAAATTGTGCATTTCCATCATTTTTATTTGTTTTATTATTTTTTGAAATGTGTTCTTAAAATAAGCGTAGTCTGAATAAAAGTAGGTACCTATAAACAAGCCTGAGGCCTAGTGAGAAAATATTGCCCTTACTCCTTCCATAGTTAGTATAAATAGTCTCTCTCTCCTTAAAATAAATTCACAGAGATAGTCATTGTACTATTATCATAAAAGTAATGCATGTAATAGGTATACTTAGTAACAAATGATTTTGTATACTTAGTAACAAATGTTTTAAAATACATACAGATCACATCCTTAGGGAAGTTAAATAAGGGAGATGAAGCAACAATCAACACAGTTACAAATTATTATATCTCAGATTAATTTTAATTTTCTAGTCTCTATTTATTTTTTATAAACACAAAGAAAGTAATTAAAAACCGATGGATGTATAAAATATTATTGATATATTATGCATGTTCTTACATCGACTTACTGAACTTTTAAGCAATTAAAAATTATTGGGATCAATCATGAGGGATGGTGAATTCCCAAGGAATGGTCCCTAATGTACAATCAAAGTAATGATGGTGAATGATGCCAGAGCCTCCCAGTGTGACTCAGGGGTGCCATTATCTCCAGAAAATGGAGAAGCCTTCATCATCTCAGAGCCAGGACTAGTTGTAGGTGTCCCTATGAAGTAAACAAAGGTGAATCCTGATGAAATGCTAATTGAGACTACAGATTCGACTGAAAGAACTCCACCTTCCAGTAATAGTCACATTGTACTCAGTTGATTCTTTTATTTCTTATGTAACTGGCTAATTACATTTCTGATACTGACATGCCAGGCCAATGGAGAAAGGTACTTTTTGGGATAACCACTCAAAATAAATAAAATAGCGTGCTCCTAACGTAAATCCTAACTATAGCTTGACTTGACACTGCAAACTAACTAAGTCTTCAGAACAAATCAATATATTCCAAAAAACGGACAGGACACATAGTTGTATACATGCTTATTATCCACTTATGTTCAGAGGTAAAGAACCGAAGCAGTAAATTCAATAACTTAATTAAGAGCAAAAAACATGATGCAATTTTTAGAATATATCTTGAGTGCCACTCACTGCCCTCTGTGTCATTTCTAGTACCTGATACCTGCGTGTCCCTATCTCCTCTTCGAGTCCTTTTTCTCCATCGAGATAGCCAAGAGACCTAATAGAAATGCTGTCTAACCTCTCTGCACCCAAACCTCTGTTAGGAAAGGATCTACTAATTATCTTAGATAGACTAAGGCACAAATGACTAATTTATATGGAGTGCTACCCTCCCAGGATATTTCTATTTCAACAGAAAATTAATGTGTTCTGGTTATAACTGTGAAATTGTCAAGTACCTGTGAATGGGAAGCTCTTTACTTCACATGATGGATTTTTCAATATCTAGAAATAATTTGCTAACAACAAGCTGAAGCATTTGAAATCATGATCAAAAACCTGATAACTTTAGAACATAATTTAGAAGAGTGTTTATTCCATTTTGATTTTTTAAATCATGCTTTTCCTTCTAAGAGCTGGGAAATATAGATTGAAAGGTTTTTTTGCGTTTAGTTCTTCAGAACCACCCTTGACGTAGAAAATAACTGATGTAACTAAATTATAAATATGCTAGTAAGTCACTTGACTGACGTGATTTTAAATTATGTATACACTTATGCAGCAATATATTTTTCATCTTCTGGAGGGCAGGTTCAGAGTTTCTGGCTTAAATAATTTCCCCAGCTGTATTAACATAGGCTATGTGATTAAAATAGTGAAGTATATTTAAGTCTATTACTAGGTCTTTATAAAATGTTAACTTTGTAGTAATTAATAGATTAACAATACCTATTTAAAGAATTCAAATTATAAAACTAAATTCTATTTTGAAAGACATCAGGGCATAACATTAATATATTTTAAAATGTTTCTACATTTGGTGGCAGTTCAAAAAATCTAATTTTTCTCATATTTTAAAATTTCCTATCAGCATTGCCTAAATATCGCCAGTGGTTCTTTATTAGAGTGATTCTGTTTCTGGAAGTTTAGAAACATGTTGTGAATTTGTAATCTTATCTTCTCTTTCCTCAACTCTCCCTATGTGCAGGGCCCTGTATTTCTCCTTGAAGACGGGAAGTCTGCTATCTCATTGAATGATGCTCTGATGTGGGCAAAGGTGAATCCATTCTCACCGTTAGGGACCGGAATACGACTCAACCCTTTCTGACAGAAGGTTCTTCTCCATGTTTCATTGTTTTTTAAAGACCTTTCGTGGTTAGTCTTACCTAAACCTTTGTTGTCAAAGAGCCAAGGTGGGGAGGAGGAGGAGGGGAGATGGGGAATACCAATTGATTTTATTCATTAACTTCAAAAAATAAAATATTTATGTAAATTTCAAAGAAAAATAGGTGTCTCCTTTATAAAATATAATAGCTATATTTGGGAAGAAGGTCGTATTTAAATTATAAAGGCCTGAATAATTTAAATGAGCATATAAAAGTTTCACAAAGCACAAAAGGTACCAAAATATTACATTGTTGAAACAATGAAACATATAAAATAGTGCAACATCTAGAATAGTGCTCAACCTCCAGCAAGTCCTTAATGAATATCTGAATGACCGAGTATCTCGAAATATCGAAATGTTCAGGTGTGTGTGACTGATCTTCAAGTTAACAAGCACCTATATTGTCCTCTATAAAATGTATAGTAAGCCACTACTTTTAGTTTATATTTAATAAAAGTTTTCAGTTACAATTTTAATATATATTAATAAGTGGATACACAGTCAAAATACTTTTGAGTTTTATTTTTTTAAAAAGAAAATATTACCAAGATTTTTTTATCTGAAATTCAAATTTAGTTATAAAGGAATAGGTTATATAAGCATGAAGAAAATTTAGGGGTGAAAAACACAAAATGCAGTCAAAGCTGTATGAGAATTTGCATTTAATGATAACTGACTATTTTAAAAGATATTTGGTACGTATAGATATTAGTTTTGATTAGTGCATTTAATATTTAAATAACCTCTAATCAATTTATATTAACTCTAAAACATAATTTATTTGATAAAAATTAGTTTCAAATAAATTTCTGTAAGTAAATAGGATATTAGTTGAAATTTTGGGCATTTTATGTAAATTCAAATTTTTAAAATATTTATTAAAAGAGTAAAGCTTTATTTAATTAAAAAAAAAAAGCCTGAGGCATGACTTACAAGTATTTCAATTGTACTAGAAGTCTGACTTTGAAATTTATGAAATCAGTGTATACTAGGAAGAATAGTACTTTGATACTTAAGTTGTTTTACAGGATTTATAATATAGATGTTTTTGTCTAACTAAAGAGTGAGCTCATATAACTAGAATGTGGTTTTTATTATCTTTAAACTTGTTGCATTTAAAATATTTTAAAATTTTTCTTAAGCAAGCTTCTTAAAACAGAAAACAATATATATTATGTACCCATCTACCACACTGACCACTTCTAACTCCTCAAAAAGACATTATAGGCTTAAATTCCATTTAAAAAAAAATTAATATTATAGAAGAGAATGTATGCAACTCAGAGATGCAATGGATAATGTAAAGTATATCTGAGAAGTATAGTTTTCAGCCCTTAGTGATATATGTAACTCAAATTTGTTTTAGGTAAGGAGGATTATTAATTAGCATATATTAATTGGCATATCCTCATCTAAAAATGTCAGTCTAAATCTTGCTATCATTCTCTTTATTTTGTTTTAAAATAGATTAAGAAGCCTATCTTTTGTACTTTAAATACTTCAAAAGGTATCATTGAGTTTAAGTTATACATATACAAACAATTGTAACCTTTTTGTATATTTTGAATGAATGCAAGAGAGTAGTATTTTTGTGTATAAAATATGAAAAAAATCATACAACTCTTTAGCACATGAAGACAATAGAGGAGTAACCCAATTTCTGTCTAAAATCTAAATTGGATTGATGCAAGTGCAATTCTATTATTCTTTGACTTCTACAGTGTTCTATATGTTAATATTAATTATAACTATTAATCCTTGACAGAATTATTAATGTCATTTGACTATGTCAATGTGTATATATTATGCCTTAATATGTAAAACAAAGCAATTTTTTAAAATTATAAAAGTATTTTTCACTATTAGATTTCATATGTATGAAAACCCAAACAAACAATATGAACTTATTTTACTATTTGAAGATGTTCATATCACCAATAATGATGTGGACAAATTATCAAAATAGTAAGTTTAAATATGCTTTTATGAAATGTCTCATTAGAAAATGATTTTAAAAGCATTGGAAAAACATTTTGCGTATAAAAATTACCAGGTGGTTAACAAAATTGCAATATCAAAATGAGTTACATAAAAATATTTGATTTTTATGTCAATCGAAATTAATGAAATATATATATTTTTTCATGAAATCACACAGACATGTTCAGGAACATGGTTGCATTAGACCAATGACTCTCTTTTGTTGTCCTTGTAACAGGAAAATTGACACTTTTTGGTCTTAAGTCAAAAGGCATTCTGAATATAGTAAAAGCCTCAGAAATTATTTGCAAAATGTAGGGTTTCATATTTAGTATACCAGTAATATAGAAGATATCTTTAAGTCAACTCTTAATAAGTGCTCATTGTACCATATCTTTGAAACATTTGTACCTAAATAATTGAAAAAAGTACTTTCATGCTGAATTTAAATACCATGTAACTGTGCTATATTATATGGCATGTAGTTATCTAGGTTTTATGTATGTATGTACATATTTCAGGTCCCCTAAATTTTAATCAATACTGCAGTTAAAGCCGAATATGACATAGTTAACTGCTAAAATGAGTGTCAGTCTTGTCTCTGAAACCATCGTTGAGAGAACGCTGTTTCGCCATAAATGCTGCATCAGAGTCATCAGAGGCGTGAAGGGCGGAGCTGTCCATCTGGGTTATTACCCTACTCGGAAACCTAGAAAAATGGTTTCATTGGACTATTCAGGAGGATGATTCTCTGCCTGTCAGAAACACTGACTACCAAAAAAATCCCCTAGAATTAGTATAAAAGGGAAAAAGGGCTTACTAATTAATACAAAAAGCATATCACAGAGACTTCCATTCCCGTGATGAGCATTCTGCCAGTTGATTGAAAAGGTTCTGTGCCTATAGGGGCTGCTGTAGCTCCTACAAAAGCTCATTCCCTCCTTCTGTCAGCAATCCTTTGTGAAGTCAGTGGCCTTCCCAAGATTTGCCTGTAGTGTTGGCTTCTGCTGACACAACTCAACCTCCACAAGCTCTTGAAGTTACCTACCTGGACCACACCTGCTGCCTTCATTTACTTATTCACTGTGGAATGAAGCTTCCAGACTAGTTCCTATTTTCCACAACTCTCTACAGGTCCCACAGGAATCCTGGGAACTTACCGTAGTCAGGCCAGGAGTGATTAGCTTTTTCAGGAAATTGATCAGTCAGGAGAATAAGGAAACTTATTATTTGCCTGTTTACCCAAATCCCATCCTTTCCTCTGGATCTTTTCCCCAGCTGAGCTTCAGAAGACTTGTTTATACAACCCTTTCCTAAGGAACTGTATTTTATGGGTTAAAAATGATTCTCATAATTTTCTACTTGAGATTTGTCATTAGAATGCAAGGCAACAGGTAATTCACCCATGGCTGGTTCAGATATGCCTTTGAACTGTATCCTTTACCTCAGATGAAACTAGATTCTAAACACATTCCCAAGAAGTCATCTATGTCACCAGGGCTCTCTTTAATTTCTTTTAGTAAACACTATCTATCCCAAAATATAAAATTAAACTAGGAAATCTCTGGAGGTAGAAATTCTAATAAAAACTGTCGAAGCCTTCAAAAATGCAGAAAAATTGATAGAGTTTAGTGGAAATTGACATGCATATCATGGGATTCAGCATGAGTAATATTCATCTTGGAAGTCAAATGATAATGAGATGGCATAAAAACATGAATAGTTCTGGTTGAAGAAAATTTTCCAAATATGAACATAAAACTACCAAGAATATGTGAAAGATAATCAGTCTTTCCTTTCCCTTCAATAAAAATACGGGGCATGGCAGCAACCAGTAGGAATTTTTAAATTGAACTAAATGGATTGCTAAACACCACAAACAAATTCCACGTGAAGCATGATTTTCCTTCTCCAAAACTTGGTATCAACAGGAAAGACACCTATATTTTAAAAATGTTTAAATCAGTCTATTTATGGAGGTGGGCAAGATTTTCTATGCACCAATGTATAATAATAATCATTCAGAATAAATTTTTTTTTTAATGCACGTGATGTTTAAACATATAATATCAGGCCAAGTGGTAGCTCTTTTCAGTTCTAATGAGGAAAACACATCACAAAGTAGATTCACTATTCCTACAGAATTTATGAGGAAGAACTCTTACCTGTCCTGGTGAATTATGTTTAGCTGTACCTTTAAAATTATTTTTGCTCATTCTATGCTAATTAATTTGATTTTGTATTTTCAGCAGTACCTGGCACAGGAGTTGAATAAATCGTTGTTGAATTGAATTGAAAAAATATGTTCTTCAGCTCAATTATGGATAAGACACCAGTTTAATTAACTTATTGAAATATATCCCAGACTAGGTGCTTATATCCCTTTAGGATGGCAAGGGATAGGGGCACACTTCTTCAAAGCCATTAACAGGTGCTTTTCAAGGTTACTTTTCCATGTTGCTGATAGGTTTCAGAGCAGATTCAAAAGAATGTTTTCCAGCTTGCTTCACATGAATTTCTTTAAGTGCACTGCCACGATTACCTGTATTTGCTAGAATATATAAAGAAACAAAATTAAAATCAATTTGTGGTTATTAAATATTTACATAACCATCAATGTTTCTAATATAGCAGACATATGCAGAATGATCAGCAACAGGCTGAGCACAGGTTAATCTAAATGCCTGGGAAACAGAATATTTGAGGCATGCATCATAGTAGTCATAAATAAAGTCTGAGTGTCAGCCACCTCCAGAAGTCATCAGCAGTGCCTAAAAATATCCTGGGCTTATCTGGTGCATCTGATACCGAATACGACTCGACTATTTTTAGATGTTGCTTCAGAAAGCAGCTGAGGCAGCAGGGCCACGATGTTAGCCGTGCTCAGATTCGGCAAATTTACATAATTCATAATTCAGTTTCTGGAATTCCGATTGCCCTGAGGCATCCAGACTGGTCACTCAGGTCTAAAGTGAGGGGCCAAAAGAAAATGAGAAATTTATGTTCCCTTGGCCCATTATTTGGCTAGACGCTAGATTTAGGTAAACAAATAGAGGAAGTTGTGTTAAAAAAAGAAAAAAACAAAGGTAACACCCTATCTTACAGTTAATTTCCATCACCCTATTTGACCATTAGAAGCTTTTCAGAGGAACAGCCTGTGATTTCAGTGCCATGATGTGCAATCTTAGCTGGTAAAACAGGGTTAATTTCCCACAGTCTAGTGTTCTGCCTCTCCTCCTTCCGTTAACTTGCAAATTATGTTAGCTGACCTGAACTAATCACTCTCTTTTATCAGAAACAACTGAAATGGAATCCCTTTAACAAATTTGGAAAAAAATAATTTACAGCTTAGCAAAACAGCTCTCATCCATATAATCAGCAAAGTCAGATCAACATCATTCATTAACTTCCATTATGCCTAGATTAAGAGAATCCACTTATCTGGGACGGGATTGAGAGCAGTAAAAAGATAAAAACATGTCCCTTCCATCCTGATCTGCCCTGTCCAGTGAAGACTCCCATGAGCCCATCAGCCATTTTGAAAAGGACAGGAAAAGACGGTTAAAGAGAAAGAGATTCATAAAAGAGAGCATTGAGAGAATAAAATGGGGGAGGAGTTATTTGTAGCAGTTCATACATTATTAAAATTGTAAAAGCAAGAATCCATTCTACTTGGAGTCCTGATCTGAAATAATGATAGCATACGGTTTTTCTAAAAACTCATATATGAACCTTGAAAATTTTCTGAAAAGATGATAGAAATGAGGAATACTCTTTAGCAATTCAAATATCAGTAGGCATCATTTTTTATATATGGCACTTTGCATCTGTTTGTCACACAGGAAGGAAGCCCTGCTGTGACAAATGACTGCTTCTACATTTTCATTGCAGGTCCCAAAGCAAGGGGTCATGCCCTTTCCTGTCCCCAGTCAGGCCCAATTAGCCACAGGGAGAAAGAGGCAAGCAAGTGCACAAAAAGAACTCATGTACCATTTCCTCCCCATGCCTCTCGCCCACCACAATCCCCTGCTCCCTGCCTCTGCGTGCTGCCCTGGCTTCTGCTGCCTCCTACCAGCACGCTCACTGCGGATATTCCTGAGGGAAGAAGGTTGAGGCAGGTTGAAGGGGAGGGCATGTTTCCAGAATCTGAAGGGGAAACTATGGATACACTTTTTTTCCATAGAAACATTGTTATTCACTTCTGTTGGGTTCTGTCATGCTGAGTACGATGCCTCAGGCATGATGAGTTAAAAGGGTTTTGAGGGAATGGCCTAATGTCTAGATACTAAAAAGTGTGCTCTGAGCAATGGTAGTTCTACCAGGCCATTAGCAAAACAAAACTAAATAAAGTGATGTGCGAGAACATAGAATTTAGAAAACACTTCCTCTGAACCTCTCCTCTTTAATATTTACAATGCATATTAGCACATTAAAGGCTCTGAGAAGTGATAAATTTAAAAAAGGAATCTGTTCACATTGCTTACCCAGACCTGATGAAAACAGGGACCCTTTCCTCCCATGAAATCCATCTTAACACTTTAGGAAACATGCTCTGTAGCACAGGTCCACAAATATTTTCCATCAGGGCCTGAGAGTAAATATTTTAGGCTTCGTGGTAGGGTTGTCAGGTAAAATATGGGACACTCGGTTACATTTGAATTTCAAATAAACAATGAATAATTTTTAGTGAAACTATGTACTCCATATGTCCCAGAAATTACTGGTTGTATTACTCTGTATTTTTATTGGCTAAATCTGGAACCCTCCTTTGTGGGCCTTACAGCCTTTGGCAACTCCTCAGGCCAGCTGTCATAGTGCAGAAGCAGCTGCAGACAAGGCATCCAAGGGACAGGCGTGGCTATGTTCCAATACAACTTTATTTATGAACATGGAAATCTGAATTTCATATAATTTTCAAGTGTCAGGAAATATTTTTCTTTTGATATATTTTTTCAACTGTTTAAAAAATGTAAAAGCCATTTTTAACTTGTAGGCTATACAAAAACAGGTGGCCGACTGACCGTGGCCCGTGGGCTATAGTTTCTATGGTATAAATGCTTTCCGAATTAACAGGATTTAAACAAGTGGCTTCTTGTAATACAGCTGATCGGGAAGGCCAGATACGCGTGTGTCTCTATCTGCCTTAGGACTGAGCTGTCATCGAACTGCTAGAGAATTGAGTTTTGAGCTCTGCCAACAGGCTTCACCTGTTTCAGACTCACCTATTTGAGGACAAATCAGAACTGAAATGGCTCCTATAGTAGCAGGTGGGGCACCCTGGTTTGGGAACCTCCCCTGATGTGACTGGTACTTAGCAGACCACATGTCCCTCCACCTATCAAAAAGCACAACAACAGGGGCCAGCCCCGTGGCCTAGGGTTAAGTTCAGCATGCTTTGCTTTGGCAGCTCTGGTTTGGTTCCAGGGCACGGACCTGCACTACTCATCAGTGGCCATACTGTGGCAGCATCCCACATACAAAATAGAGGAAGATTGGCACAGATGTTAGCTCAGGGTGAATCTTCCTCAGCAAAAAAAAAAAAAAAAAAAAAACCCACAACAACATACCAACCTCCCACACGGTTTTAGACTGAATGCCTAGACCAACATTTTAGCTATTTTTAAAATTTTAAATGAACAAAGTAAAACCAACAAATCCATTTTAACAGATAAAAAGTTAAAAATTAAAAAAAAAAACCTTACCTAAAACAGGAGCAACTCTTTCCCTTGATATCACTGAGTTACGTTTGTACCCGTAGGCTTTGGCAGGAAGATGATCAAGAGTAAATTCTCCCACAGTTGGTTTGACCTCAAACCACTCTATAAAATATAAACCCCAAAATTCTTTCTTAAAAATTCACTATGGCCATTGTCAATATAAGACATCATAATTTAAAAATTAAGCAAATTATTTAGACACCTGTTTTATCATATTCCTAAGAGTGGTGTGAATACATAGGTTAATAACTCTCTTGCCACATTGTTCACATCTTTGATGCACAAAATAATTGCCTTAAAAACTTACTTTAAGGCAATATCTTTATATTTCTATTAGTTTTTTGGTATGTTTTTACTCAATTCACTTTTTGTAAGTTTTTATTCTGTGTATACAGAAAAGTGAAGAAATAATATGTTTACAGCTTGATAAATTTTCGGAGTGAATACACCTGGGGTACCATCACCCAGATCAAGAAATAATATATTGCTAGCACCCCAAACTCCCCCTCCTGTCTCTCCCATACAGTACCCTAAAAGGAAAACACTATTGTGACTTCTATCATTACAGGTTTTACCTATTTTTATATTTCATATAAGTATAATCACATAGTATCTGTTTCATTTTGTGAACATTTTTATACTATAATAATAGTGACTTAAAATTATTTCTGTTTCCCATATTTCTTATTAACTAATTGTATAAACTGCCACACTTGGGCATCAATTTCCCTGTACTTCTAAAGATCACTTACTCCTCTGCAGCTGACCCTGCATTAAGGCTGGAAGAAGTATGTAAGGTAATTTCTACTCATCAGCCATGTCCTGTTAATGCTAAATACAGCTCTGGTCAGTAACATTCCCAGAACTATAATTATCACAATTAATTACTTTGCTTAAAATCAGCATTCTCAAAAATCAACACCAGTGATAACAGAATACTATTCGAGAATCTGAAGGGTTGAGGTGACCGCATGGCTAAAGAGGAATTGTGTTCAAAAGAAGACAACAGAGATACCAGTTAGCTTTGCACCAAGATGGACTTTTAAACAGAAGATTAAATAGAAGAGTTGTTTTTTGTTCTAGAAATTCCAACTAGAACCAATGAGTAGAAGTAATAGTGAGATAGATTAAATGTAAGCAAACATTAGGTATAAAAAATAATATCTGATTTGTGGTGTTAAAAAATAACTTGATGAAACTAAAATGCTGGACAGCAAAAGAACTAAAGTGGGGTAGGGGTCTGGCAGGGAGTGATCAGTGGCATAGTTTCTAATGTCCTTATAGTTTGAGGAAGAGAGTAAACATATTAATTTCAGACTAAAATAAAAATGCATGTTAAAATTTCTAGGGTAGCACTAAAAAGAGTTAAAATTTGAAATTTTCCATATTAGTAGGAGGTAAAAAGTCTTTGGGAAAAAAATTCAGTCCAAAAGAAGAAAAGATAGGTGAGAGAAAAACAAGAAACAGAAAAAGAGAACGAATCAAAAGCACTAAATACTGTAATATGAGAGATATGAATGCATATATAACAATTGGCAGTATTACTGAATTCATAACAATAGAAGTCATAGTCAATGACATGACAATGGTCCAGGCAACAGGGTACTTCATAGAAGAACAAATTGCAGGATTCGCTTTACCAAGTATCAACGCTTATTATAAAGCAACAGTAGGTAAGACAGCATGGGTGTAGAAGTGGCACACATGCAGACAAGGTTGGCTAGAGCTCAGAAACAGACCCATGTTTACAAAGAAACTCAAAATATTTGAAACATGAGAATGTTACAAACCAGTGGGAAAAGAACAGACTATTCAAAAAAATGGTGCCTAGACAATTGGTTCTCATTTCAATTGCAGACTAATTGGGGACCTTAAAAGTGAAAGGCTAACCTCTTAGTAGATATATGCTTTGCAAATATTTTCTCCCGTTCTATAGGTTCCCTTTTCACTCTCTTGATTGTTTCCTTTGCTGTGTGGAAGCTTTTTAGTTTGATGCAATCCCACTTGTCTATTTTTGCTTTTGTTGCCTGTGCTTTTGATGTCTTATCCAAAAACTCATTGCTAATACCATTGTCAAGAAGGTTTTTCCCTGTTTTCTTCTAGTTTCAGGTTTCAGGTCTTATGTTTGTCTTTAATCCATTTGGGGTTGATTTTTGTTTACGGTGTGAGATAAGGTTCCACTTTTGTACTTCTGCATGTGGATATCCACTTTTCTCAACACTGTTTACTGAAGAGATATTCTTTCCCTATTGTGTGTTCTCAGCTCCCTTGTTGAAGATCAGTTGACTGTAAATGTGTAGATTTATTTCTGGGCTTGCTATTGTGTTCCTTTGGTCTATATGTTTTTATGCCAGTACCATGCTGTTTTAATTACTATAGCTTTGTAGTATATTTTGAAATCAGGAAGTTTGATGTCTCCAGCTTTGTTCTTCTTTCTTGGGATTGCTTTGACTATTCAGGGTCTTTTGAGGTCCCATATGAATTTAAGATTGATTTTTCTTTTTCTATAAAGACTGCCATTGGAATTTTGAGAGATTTCATTGAATCTGTAGATCACTTTGGGTAGTATGGACATTTTAACAATATTAATTCTTCTAGTCCATGAACATGGAGTGTGTTTCCATTTGTTTGTGTCTTCTTCAATTTCTTTTATCAGTGTTTTATAATTTACTGTGTACAAGGGGTTAATATTCAAAATATATAAGGAACTCATATAACTCAATAGCAGACAAAACAAATAACCTGATTAAAATTGAGCAAAGGACCTGAATAGACATTTCTCAAAAGAAGCCATAAAAATGGCCACAGGTATATGAAAGGTGCTCAACATCACTAATCAGGGAAATGCAAATAAAAACCACAATGAGATATCATCACACACCTGTTAGAATGGCTGTTATCAAAAAGACAAAAGATAAAAAGTGTTGGCGAGGATGTGGAGAAAAGGGAACCCTTGTGCACTGTTGGTGGGAATGTAAATTGGTGCAGCCACTATGAAAAACAGTGTGGAGGTTCCTCAAAAAATTAAAAATAGAACTATCATGTGATCCAGCTACTCCACTGCTGGGTATATATCCAAAGGATACAAAATCAGTATCTCAAAGAGATATCTGCACTCCCTTGTTCATTGCACCATTATTCACCATAGCCAAGGAAACAACCTAAATATACAAAAGTGGATGAATGCATAAAGAAAATGTGGTGTGTATATATGTGTATGGAATATTAATCTGCCTTAAAAAAGAAGGAAGTGCTACCATTTGTGACAACATGGCTGAAACTGGAGAACATCATGCTAAGTGAAATAAGCCAGACACAGAAAGACAAATACTGCATGGTCTCACTTCTATGTGGAATCTAAAATAGACTCATAGAAGCAGAAGGTACAATGGTGATTACTAGAGATAGGGTGGAGGGGGACATGTGGAGATGGAGGTCAAAGAATACAACATTTCAGTTATATAAGATGAGTACCTTCTGAAGGTCTAATGTACAGCATGTGACTATAGTTAACAATAGTGTATTGTAAACTTGAAATTTGCTAAGAGGGTAGATCTTGAGAGTTCTCACCACACAAGGAAAGAAAGAAAGAAAATGGTAACTATGTGAGGGGATGGATATGCTTGATTGTGGTGATCATTTCACAATGTATATTTATATCAAAACATCAAGTTGTACACCTTAAAGATATACAATTTCTATTTGTCAATTATATCACAATAAAGCTGAAAAAAATTGAAAGTGAAAGGCTAAACTTTAGTAAATTTAAATATAGGAGAATATATTTATAACCTCATGATGCAAATAGTATTAACTATGAAATTTGTATTCATTTTTCATTTCTGCCATAACAAATTACCATTAATTTAGTGACTTAAAAACAGCCATTTCTATCTTCCAGTACGGAAGTCTGGGTCTTCTATGTAGCGTCTTACAGGCCGAAATCAAGGTGTTAGCAGGGCTGCATTCCTTTCTGGAAGCTCTGGGGATGAATCCTCTTCCAAGCGCATTCAGATTGTTGGCAGAATTTGGCTCCTTGCATTTGTAGGACTGAAGTCCCTGTTTCCTTGCTGGCTGTCAGTGGAGGGAGGGTTGTTGTTTGCTCCTGAAGGCTGCACCGGGTACCTTCTCGTGCTTTCCGCGTGGCCCCTGCAGCAAGGGCAGGTTGAGGCTCTCTCACACTTCAAATCTCTTTTACTTCTCCTTCTGCTGCATCTCTCTGATTCCACTTGCAGAAAGATCTCTGCTTTAAAGTGCTCATGTGATTAGCGCGGACCAACCTGAATAATCCTGCATAAACTCCCTACTTTAAAGTCTGCAACTTTAATTACACCTGGAAAGTCTCTTTTGCCGTGTAATGTAACATATTCACAGGTTCCAGGGATCAGGGCATGAACAACGTGGGTGCCATTCTGCTTGCTACAAGGTTTGATAAAATCAACTGAATTAAAGTTAAGACATATATATATAAATGAAATTAGAATAACGTAAATAGTATGCATAAACTATTCTTTAAAATCAAGGAAATTATAAACAAAGGTAGTAGGATCATGGTTACTCTTGGAAGGAAGAGTGGAGAATGCAGTCAGAGAGTAGACACAGGAGAATGGAAAGGTATGGGTAATATTCCATTTCTTAAACTACAAAGGATACACAAGTGTTTATTCATTTTTATTAGTCTTCTTTAAATTGCACATATACATTATATGCATGCATAATAAATTTCACAGCAAAATTTTAATGTTTAAAGACATACAAATATTTAATTATAAAGTTATAAATATAAAAATATATATAAATATAAGATACAAGATTAAATGTAAAATTCTATGGCAAGATTAATAACCTGAATTCTTTCTCTACTCACGAATTCATGAGTAGAACCAGAAATGAGAACAAATCAATGAAGAGAAACAAAAAGTGACAGAAGATGGAAGAATGGACAGAGTAAAAGCAGGACAACAACCGGAATATCTACCTTGCAATTTGGGGAGGGAGTGAAAATAGCTGCTCTCCTCTCCTTCCAGAGACCACAGAGAAAAATGGCTCTTTTCTTCAGAAAATTGGCATCAAAAGAGAGAGAGAGAGATCCTAATGACCTCCATCTGCCTCACTCGTGAATGCTTTGGGTACCCCAGCAATGTTGAGTTCTCCAAGTGTCTGAATCCAAGTGAGACAAGATTCCAAGACACGAGTGGTGTCCTAAATAAGTGTTAGAAAAGCAAAAAAGAGAAAGTTCACTTACTGTGTTTGCTGTTTGCTGGGATTCTGATGGCAGACGCTTTGGATACTTTGAGAATTATTTCAGTCATACTTCTGGAAAGCTTCCACGGGTTGCCTCAATCTGCCCTACCATCTAAATACCAACAAGGCTACTATGGAAAGGATGACACTGACTATACTCTAGAGAACATCTTGAGTGAATCATGGTGATCCAGGCTTTTCCCAACGTGCTTATACTCTGATGAACACCTAAACATGCCCATCCTCTTTAGTAACTTGAGTTGATATGTGAACTTATTTCCCACAGAATTTTATGTGAACAGATTCGCTAACATTTTTCTAAAAATTGTCTATACACTATGTTAACCTATGCTTTCATCAAAAAGAATGAATTATAACATAAACCACTCCAATGATAATAATTCATTCCATTGCTAGCATATGAGAAGTATTTTCCCTTTAAACGAGTGACAGAAGAAAGCAGAAATGGGACAGTGGCAGGCCCCCTTTCATCTGTGCTCAAGAATAGCCTCATTAAGCTTGGAAGAATTCAGTTGACTATTTCCAAGGAAAACTTACCTGGATTCAATTTTCTGCTTAATTTTCTTTGCAACATTTGTAAAAGGAAGAGGAACTCTACTTTAAGTTCATTGCTGAGCATGTTGGGATTACTTATTAATTCTGATAACCTAATGTTATCTTTAATAGACTTTGATGCTGTAGACCTGGGAACCAGGGGCAAACGCATCTGGTAACTATAGTCTGTGAAATTCACGGGGTCATCCTGAATACTTTTAATTCTGGAAATAAAAAATAAAATACTGTTGACAAGCCACATTTTAGTAATGAGATTTATATTATCAAAAGTTTCATGTTAAATTGTATTACTAGAAAATTCCAAATGACTCACTCTCGATGTGTTAACAAGGTGTAAATCTCTTGTATCAGTATTTCGGGTACTCCAGCTTTACAATGAATTGTTCCATGGATTAGTTCTTTAGGTAATTTAAATTTTTTTTTGGCCAGGAACTTTAACAGTAGAAAGAAAATATTTTCATCATAAGAAGTTCTATAAAAATCTCCAGTTACTATGAATTCACTTTAATCCCCCTCTTATCTCTCAAATAATTTTTTGATGTTTGTGTTAAATATTAAAAGATATTATTATTCAGCAAAAAAACCAACCATTATAGCCCATTGCAATTTGAAATGAGTATGCTTAGTTTCACAGGTGATTCATGATATAAACTTTTGTAACCTTTTCGATGCAAGGAAACCGGCTGCCAGCACAGCAGCATTGTATCCCCGCCCACAGTCCCGTATACAGACACCTTTTAAAACATAAACTTCTTAACAGTCGGAAGTATCAGTGATTGCTGATTTACCTTTTCCACCTGTGCCCAGTTATCCAACTTGACTTTTAAAGAAGTTCCGTTTTCAAAGGATGACAATTTAAGGTCCTGGGGGTAATATATTGTGAATATTTCTGCTATCAGGAAGCCATTTGAAAAATCCCTGATCCATAGCAATAAGAAAGTGAAATAAAATGTAGTTACTTATGCAGTTTGTATTATTTTACAGTTAATTAACACCAATCTAATAGTCCATACTGACAGCAAGTAACTTATAAAATTAGAGTTTTGTTGGATCATTGCTCTGGTGAGAACCTACTATGGAATGGGCAAGATTAGATACCACCAAAGGCTTTGGTGTTCTCTTTATGAACCCAATCTATTAATTTGTGTTGAGTCTGCATTTAACAAGATCCGCAGATGATTCCTATGCACACTGAAATTTTCAGGCGCGTCTTTATTAAGGAATCACGAAATTAGTAAACAAAAAACTCATCATCTTCACTTTTACAGAATTTAGTTTCCATTCCCAGAGCAAATATTAACTGCCAGTGACGTTCAGGGCGGCTGCAGTTAAACAGCAACTTTTTTCAACCCCTGATGACCCTCAAACTACATGCCATCTCTAACGGAGGGTAAACTGATGCCCATTAGTATTAATGTCCAGTGTCCCTAAAAAAAGAGCCTTGACTATTTTAGTATTTTTGTAGTCACCAAAGCTTTCTATATTAGCTTAAGTCTAAAATGTAATGAATGGATGAACGAATGAATGAGCAAATGCAATGTTTCATCGTATTTTTTTCAGGCCCGCTCCCTAATAGGGCCAGGTGTGTTGGGGTGTGTGGTGGGTGGGCGGGGCTCTGGATCTGAAACCTAAGCTGGGCGGGGGTGGGCGATCCGGGGAGAGCGGCCCTGAGCGGCGGCGGGATCCCCGAGGCCCAGGAGGCGGCCGCCCGGGCGGCCCGGCCCGCTCGCTCCCGCACCTGTTGATGTTCCTGGGGAAGAAGCTGAGGTCCAGGCCCTGGAGCCAGCGCAGGACGGACCGAGACAGGCGCGAGCTCTTCGGGGGATGCGGGTAGACCAGACACTTCTTAGGCCTCCCTCGGATGGGAGTTGCTGGCTGCGGCGAAGGTGACAGTGACTTGGGGACGGCTGCCGCCGGCTGTGTCACAAACCGCCCTCCCCTGCAGGCGGCAGCCATGTCGCTTTCTGCGTTTCCATGGCAGCATCGGCGCGGGGCGGGGCCGCGTGGGAGCGGGGCCTCGCGGGGGCGGGGCCTCGTGGGGCGGGGCCTCGGCGCGGGCGCCCGGGGCCTCGAGGGTACCCCAACGTTGTGGGTTAGGGGTCGCGCATCCTGGCCCCATTGGGCGTGGGCGCGGTCTGCGGAGCTTAAGCCTTGGGAGGAACTTGCAATCTCGGTTTCAGCGGGCCTCACTGGTGAACAGTTTAGAGGTCCCCCCACAATCCCTTTAGAAGTTCGTATTTTAAATATTGTGGTTTCTGCCCAGCTGAGGACCTATTTTCTGTCGAGCTTTTGGAGAAGAGTGTAAGGAGACTGCAGAGGACAAGGACGGTTTCTGTTTGGAAATTGGAAACAATAGGGTTTTTGCTCCAAAACACCAATGAAAAAAATCTTCAAAATTAAAATGAATAAATGTTTAATGTCTACAAAATTTAATGTACCTATTTTCTTAATTATTACATTGTGTTCATAAAAATGACATAATATTTGCAAGCAATTTGTAAGTTAGATTTTCATACTTCACAAAGATGCCCAGTATGCACAGTTCATTCATTCATTCAACAAACACTTATTGAGTTCCTACCAAGTGCCAGGCACTGATCTAGTCACTTGGGATTATCAGTGAACAATGCAGAGAAAAAAAAATGATTGCAGAGCAGACATAGACTATTATATATTAAATATGTACACAACAAAGTTACCAAAATCCTTTAAAAACTTTTACAGCAAAAAAAAAAAAAAAAAAAAAAATCACAATGTGGCATGTAGATACACATTATTATGCAAGATAAAATATGGGATAGATCTTGATAGTGGAGCTATAGAATATTTTGTCGAATGTTTATTCATATACATGTTTATTAAGAAAGTAAACCAATGTGAGTTTGTATACAGTTAAAAAGAAAAACAGAATGAAGCTATAGAAGTGTTTTGTCTTTGATCAATGAAGTTTTTCATGAGAGATTCATTCATTCAATAAACTTTTTTTGAGAAGCTATTATTCTGTGTGCTATGGTATGCAGTAGATCCTCACTATCCAATATGGTAGCCACCAGCCACATCTGACTATTTAGATTTAAATGTAAATAAAAGAAAATGAGTAATACTGATTACATTTCAACTGCTTGATAGCCATGTGTGGCTAGTGGCTAGCGTATTGTAAGCACAGATAACAGCACTATCACTGCAGGAAGTTCTCCTGGACAGCTGTGCACTAGATTATTTATAGAAGGTACAGAGATATAAATACCTGTAAAAAGATCATGGACATGGAAAAGGTCTGCCATGGTAAAAATATATTAGCATCAGGGAGGAAGCAAATAATTTGGTCTGAAGGAGTCTAGGAGTCCTCTCAGAGGAGGTGACCTGTGATCTGGATGTCATAAGGCAGTATTTTTTGAACTAGTTAAGACACAGACTTTGGAGCACCAGCTCTACTTTTTATTATTTTTGTGACTTTAGGCAAGTTATTTAACCATTCTCATTTTTAAAATGTAGAAATAAATAGGATAAATAGCTCCTAGGGTTGTGTTGAAGATTAAATAAACAAGTTACATATGCAAAGAGCCTAGAACAGGGTGCAGCACATAATCAGTGCTCAGTAAGTATAAATTATTGTTTTTTTGTTTTTTGGGTTTTTTTTTTTTTTTTGCTGAGGAAGACTAGCCCTAAGCTAACATCTATTGCAAATCTTCCTCTTTTTTTGCTTGAGAAAGATTAGCCCTGAGCTAACATCTGTGCCAGTCTTCCTCTATTTTGTATGTGGGTCACTGCCACAGCATGGCTGATGAGTGGCTGATGCCCAGGATCTGAACCCATGACCCCGGGCCGCCAAAGCAGAGTGTGTGGAAATTTAACCACTGGGCCACATGGCTGGCCCCATAAATTATTGCTTTTATGACAATCGTGGAAATCTGTGTGATGGAGAGGGGAGAGAACAATTCCACAGGGAATGACCAATGTGAGCAGAAGCATAGACGATATGATCTATGATGTGAGAGTTTTTTTAAATAAGTTTTAGGAAATAACAAATAACCTATTAGGGTTGGAGAAAGTGTTTAGGCTTTTACATGAGGCCTAACCCAAGATTTAGGTGGTAATGGCTACAGAGGTAGATTAGGCCTATAGACTGGGGCTTAATTGAGAACAGTCTTGCTAAGGAGTTAGAATTTTACCTGTAATAAGTGTGCCGATTGTTAAGCAAATACATCTCTGTTTCAAACACATCCTTTTGTATTCTGTCCTGTGGAGTTGGAACTCCACAATGGGATTTCTCCTTTGTTAAGAGTTTTATTGAATTCTGCCAATAGGGGGAACTAAATAGAGACTAGGAGGCCAGAGGAAGGAGAAGGGATTTGCTGTTTTCCCTTTGCTTGTTGTTCATATGGATGTCACCACAACAAAGCTTCACCTGGCAGTGGCAGTTGGTTCCAGTCTCCAATTTTTATAGCACTCCTGGAGCAGATTTCCTCACACCCCCTCAGAGGTTTTAGCAACCACAGAGAAGGCCCGCAGAATTCCCAGTCCCAGATTTTACTCTAAGACCACTCCTCTGAGCTCCTGAAGAATCAGCACCAGCTGTGTCCTCTCCCCCTTCAGAAGTCAGTCCATAAGGCTTTTCCTTCAAGTTCTAGATTCTTAGAACCCCAGCTTCTTCCCTTTCTTCCCTAGCACTAGGGGTGGCAATTGCTTTCTGAATCATCTTATCTGTAATTTGATGGTTGCGCTTTAGTTTTTCGGTTCTTCAGCATCTGTTTAACCATTTCCTTATATTAAACTCTTGTTGTCGAATTCATGGAGTGACTTCTGTTGTCCTGACTGGATGCTGAATGATGCATTGCTTCCTACCTGGAGTGAGTGAGGTTTCCCTCTACACTAGCTCACCTACGCAGTACTAAGGCATCTAACAAACTTGCTACTTCCTGTTCATGAACAGGAAGTCAGCATGATACCATCGATAGCGTGGACCAGCATGATGTTCTGTGGGATGTTAAGACACTCAAAACCCTCTGCTGATCTTGTGGCAGAGAGCGAGAAAATTGATTTGACCTACGGCAATGTCATGAATGTGCTTTATTGGTCCTGCTAAATAAAAGCAAACTGCTTTTGGTGGTTCTTGCAGACTGTTACAGAGGGAAAAAGTACTTTCCAGATCAATAACAGCTTCACAGTTGCTAGGAACTGCAGCGATTTATTCCAGTAAAGATACTTCAAATGGGAAAACAGGTATCACTGGATTTACCTCCTGATTAAGTTTACAGTAATCTATAGTCATCATCTAAGATCCATCCAACTTCTGCATAAGCCAAATAGCCATCAAAGTCAGGAATTGTCATTGACCTATCACCTGTCAAAAGAAAAGTCAGAGAGCTTTACTTGATATGAGTATTTTGTTGAGTGAGAAACAAACTGTTCTTGAACAGGAAGATTTCCAACTGAAAGAGGTTAGAAGCTGGCTTTCAGCAGTTCATAAAGCATGAATGCATAAGTGCATTGTTTTCTCTGTGACTGGTGACTGCAAATTTGCACTCCTTTTCATTGCATAATCTCCTTGTTTGTAAGCAGTTAGTTAGGAAGCTGTGATGTCACGATGACATAAACAAAGCTTAAAGTTTTGTTTAGGGTCAGACTCAGCATTTTGGGAAAATCAGGACAGTTCATGTTTTAGTTATGTGACTGGCGGTGTTTGGTCTAGGGGTATATTCCCACCATGGCCTCGGTTCTGATTTCTCTACAGCACGCCTTAGCTCCACCTTTCTTCCACTTTGGAGTTTGCTGGATGCAGACAGCAAGCATATACTGTGTTCAGCTCAACCAGAGGCTGTTGTGCAGCTCGAGAGGGACCTGCCCCAGTCTACTTCTACCCATGGGAAGGGGGGTCGGTCTTCCTGATTCTGGAGTTCAGATGGAGGGTTTACTTGGCCCTCCTCCTAAGCTACTTCCTCCAACTTCCACTATATCCATAATGAGGTAATATTTTGGCTTCCATCGACACATCTTTATTTTATTTTTCAATTTGGTCAGAATTTGGCCAGGAAAGAGAAGTGCTAATTATTGAGTCCCTCCAAGATCCCAATATTTTTAATGATGGCAAAGAATGTATAAAACAAGGAGGGGATTAAGAAAATGCAGAATAAAATGTGCACATTTCTTTTAATATGTAAGCTGGATGCTTGTCATAAATATTGATATTTTCTTTTGATATTCCTCTTAGATGTTAGAGGGCAGGATTTTAATAAATTATAAATAGTTACTCATTGAATTTGACATAGATATTTTATGTCTCTGTGATCTATAAATCAATAGTACACGAATGAAATTTCTCAAAAATTTGAGGCTTCTATGTGATTGTTTAGAAAAAGTTATTTTATACTCCACCATGATCATAATTTAAATTTCATTAAGATCTGCTGGTTTCATCACCCGGCTGAAGGTAGACTTTAATAGCAAGAAAGTTAGTTTTGATCATTAAAAATATGATATTTATTTGAAGGTAACTGGAGTTTAATAGCTAATAGACTATTAGAGAAATAGAGGTGTTCTAGCCTAGTTGTTCCTGTTCTAGAATCACTTGTCCCTAGGATACTTGAGTTAGTAATGGCTGCTTGGTGACGTTTGTCCTTAACCTATTTTCGCTGTTTCGAAATACAAAGATGTGTAGTTGTCGCAGGGGTCACAGTGATATTACTGAATGTGTCTGCTAAAGATAAAGGATACAAGAACTTCACTGCCTAAAGAAAGGACGCAGATTAACCAAAGATGTGTAGCACTAATCCCGGAGAGAGAGAGACAACCTTCTCCGTCCCAGGATCCTGGGAAAGATACCCAACAAGCTGTCAGACGATCGTCTGGTTAGGATGGAGAGCCCATCACAATTTCAAGGCACTCCATCTGGCAGCCCACAAAAGTTTTTAAACCATCCTGACCTCTTTCAATGTTCTGGACTCTGGAAATGTACTTTCTGTCCATCAGGTGC